CGTACACACACACACACACACACACACACACACACACACACACACACACACACATACATACACGCACGTGACAACAGAAAATCACATCTGTATTTAGCATCTGCTTTCTTTGTTTTCCCCTTATAATCTGGTCTAATCTCTACATATTATCACGTAAATCAATTTCTTTTAATTAAGGAAAATCCTCTTCCTGCCGACGCAACTGTCCATTGACATGTGATCTGTCACATTTGTGAGGCTGCGTGGTGGAATCGGGCTTTCGTCTATTTTTGGGCATGTAGAGTTATTGGTATCATCTTAAAGCTTGTTCTGTTGTCTTTATTTGGATTTTTAAAAAAATCCATTAATCTTGAATACAAGTTGAGGTATGTTCGAATGAAGGAGGTGGGGTTACCTGTTTTCAGAGGTAAAATTAGTGAGAAAATGGCCGCCAAAGATGAATTATTTCCTTATCTTAATAATCCGTGGTAACTGAAAATTAAATTTTTTGGGGTCTTTAATCAACATTTTTCAGAAAAATCCACAAAGAAATTACTTCTTTAATGGGCATGAAAGGTGTTGAGCCAAAAAACAAACTTTTATAAAAATTCACAAACCTCCGGAAAAATGCAAGTTTCGTCACTTTGATTATTTTGACGAGAGCCTGATTCCAAGACGCTGCCTCACATTATCATATACCCTGTTAGCTCAGGTGGTATACAGCTGAGCAGTGGTTCTGGTGGTCTGGTTCGAATCCCTTTCATGGGTCTTTTTTAACTGGATTTGTTTTGAGAGTTTTTGAACTCTTCAAGGTCGTAGCATGGACATATTGCTATCTTTGAATTACAAGTTTCTATCTTTCATTTTTTGCCGTTTTGAATTACTAAGACCATGGGGTCGGATGAAACTTTGAACTCTTCAAGGTCGTAGTGTGGACATGTGGCTACCTTAGAATTACAAGGTTCTATCTGACCTTTTTGGCCGTTTTTGAGTTGTTAAAACCATGGGGTCAGATGTTACAAATGTTCTATCTGCTCTGTCAAAATTGTTAGATTATTCTGAGTCGTTATCAAGAAATTCAAAGAACTGCTTTTAAAAAAGATTAACATGTTGTAAACTCAATTTTTTAAAACTCTTTAAGGACGAAGCGG